CGCATTGAACCTGTCCACCAACGGCATTAACAGTATCAACATGTCAATAGAAATAAATGGAGTTGTCTACACAGGTAAATAGAAGGGCCGCTTGGCCCGTGTAATTGCGGCCGGGAAATCCAATAACTTATAGCCACTGCCTGGCCAGCAAGTCCTTCCTTCAATCTGATGTCTTTACTATAAAATCCATTGTAATGAAGTGGCAGGGCCTGGGGAGAGGGGGCAGGAGAAGGAGGGGGTCAGCAAGGATGGAAATTGACCCCCTGCAGAGGCTAGCAATGAAGGACCAAAGTGAGGGGTGATGAGTGGATGGACAGATGGACTTGGGCTGAGAAGTGCAAAAAGGCACCTGGGGTCATCCCCCACCACGGGGTCCTGCAGGTAGGGCTTGAATTTAGGATTGCCCCAATGCTGGTGTGCCCAGAGGGTCTCTGTCTGGGTGCAGGGGTTGGCTGGTTGCAGAGCATGCTGTTGGGAGCAGGGGAAGATGTTGGGGTGCTTTGCTGGAGCAAAGGTTTCTTCGGGATGTCAATGTGCCGCTACCTGGCTACGCAGTTATTCCCATGGCCCCCAGATCTCTGCCTGCCCTGCTGAGACATCCCCAATTAAAATCGATGGCTTTTACTTCAGGACTTAAATATTTAATGAGCTGGAAAGGTCAGGGCTAATCAGCACATGGGGCTGCCAGCCAAACAGTCCTGGGCCACCCCATGGGCTACCCCACGTGGATGAGAGTGGCTGGGCTGAGGGAGGCACCAAAGGTGATGGGGAGGCCTGGAGCCCCTAGGGGTGCTGGTTCCACCCTCTCCAGCCTGGGTGCTGGGGGCCAGGTGAGCAGACCCCCCAACCCCGGGCTTGCCCTAACCCCCTTGCTCTTACTCCCCAGGCGTCCTGTTTGCTCGCCGGCCCCAGGCCCCCCTGGCACCCGGTGGAGGGAGCACCCAGAGCCGGCCAAACCCTGTGCCTGCCCCGAACCCACTGCTCCCAGCCCCCTCGCACAGCCACACTCCCACCAGCACCTCGCTGTAGGGTATATGCCTGCCCCCTGCCCCGCTCCCAAAGCAGCTGGGGGTCCCTAGGGCCTGGGGAGCTGAGCTGTGGGACCCGGCTGGACCACCAAGGCGGAGGGGGACCTGAAGGTGCCTCTTGCTGCAATACTGAGCTGTATCCGTGCAAAACTGTAAGCACCCACGTGGGCACTTTTGTCCCTTACCCCCCATGCGTGGGACCCCTTCTCCATGCATGCCCTCTGACACACCCACCTTCCTTCCCAGGTGCTGCCCCCAGGGTGACACC